GTAAGGGCCGTCAAAAGGTCATTAACCTGTTTCTGCAAGGAAGAGAATTCCCTGGAGAGGCGTGTGATGTCTACAGGTTGGTGAGTAGACTGGTCTATGGGTAAGGGCGTGTCATTGTTGTTCGTGACTGGCTGTGTGCAAGAAGGGGAATGGATGTGCTCCCATGCACGGGGATTGAGGATACCAGAGAGCTGTGGGCGTGGCTCTGAAGCAGCAGGATTTGGAGTGTGCTGCTTTGTAACATGCCTGGTGGCAGGTACTTCTGTCTGAGTAAGGGCAGAAGAGCCAGGCTGCTTTCCTGCATGCTGCGCAGTGACAGGGGCAGTTGCAGTTGACAAAGTCCTTGGGCTGATAGGCAAGGGTGGGAAGTGCTCTACATTTCGAGGAGGTGTCTGTGTTGACGATCGAGATGGAAGGAGTTCCTTTGCTTATTTTGTATTGCGGAATTACTCCTGCATAAGTACGGTATGCGTTTCAAGGCTACCCTTCTGTGAGGGCAAGCAGAGGAATTGGCCTTGTAAAGGCCAATTCCTCTGCTTGACCTTTGCAAAAATTGGCCTTTGCAAAGGGCACAGGTTGGTGTGAGTCCGGCTTTCATCCGCTGACAGTCCCTGTAGGAATGTCCAGTCATTCCACAGAATGAGCATTTTGTGGCTTTTGTGCATGCAGAGGCAAGATGACCAAGAGAGCTGTGGGCGTGGCTCTGAAGCAGCAGGATTTGGAGTGTGCTGCTTTGTAACATGCCTGGTGGCGGGTACTTCTGTCTGAGTAAGGGCAGAAGAGCCAGGCTGCTTTCCTGCATGCTGCGCAGTGACAGGGGCAGTTGCAGTTGACAAAGTCCTTGGGCTGATAGGCAAGGGTGGGAAGTGCTCTACACTTCGAGGAGGTGTCTGTGTTGACGATCGAGATGGAAGGAGTTCCTTTGCTTATTTTGTATTGCGGAATTACTCCTGCATAAGTACGGTATGCGTTTCAAGGCTACCCTTCTGTGAGGGCAAGCAGAGGAATTGGCCTTGTGAGGGCCTTTGCAAAGGGCACAGGTTGGTGTGAGTCCGGCTTTCATCCGCTGACAGTCCCTGTAGGAATGTCCAGTCATTCCACAGAATGAGCATTTTGTGGCTTTTGTGCATGCAGAGGCAAGATGACCAAACTGCATACATTTGAAGCATTGAATGTTTCTAGGCCTTTGAGGAAAGGCTTCAATCTTGAAAGAGAGAGGACCAATTTTGACTGCTCCTCTTTCCAAGTCACGGGAGTTGTTATCCTCAACCGCCTTCACAAAGAGAAGGGGGAGAGGTTGACCCGTACGAGTTTTTCTCATCCTGATGATGTCCTCCATCAGGGTTATGCCAGATTCTTCAAGTAGTTCTTTGACATCTGTTATTTCGGTGTCAAGAGAGACATTCTTTATGACAAACTTCAAGGGGTTTGTCTTGGTGTGCGGGGCATGGGCAGTACCCATATTGGATGGCAATTTGTCAATGAGTCTTTCGGCATCTTGTTGGTTGGGAACGTCCAAGACGTATCCCGTTCTTGTTTTTCTTATGTTGGTGATCTCTATGCCTTTGAGCACAGAGAGAAGGGTTCTGACAAAGGCTATAGGATTGCGGAACTTTTCCGGTACCGCCTCTATAAACAAGGGGGTCCGGAAGGGGTCCCGCACTGGTCTCTTGTTCCGTGTAGGATTCTGAGGGGAGCTGGCATTGGTATTGAGCCTGTGTCTGGAGGTGACCTCCGTGAAAGGAGCAGGATCGTTGTCCTCGTTGAGCGGGACTTATATCGTCATGCCCTCCCTTGTCAGGATCGCAGCTGTCTGCGCCGTAGTAACAGGAGAAGGAGTTGTCAAAGTGGCTTGTGGATCAGGTGTTTGGTGTCTTGAGGAATCCACAATATCTATTGACATCGGTGATGTTGCTAAGGGCGAGTTAGCTGCTCGATTTAAAAGAGAGTTTGTTGATCTCTCAGGGGTTGGTGTTCTTGCTTTCCTTGAGGGAGGAGGTGGTGTGCTTTTATTGCGCCTTTTGGCGCGGGAACGTGTCCCGGTCCCTGGACCCATGAATCAAGGATTGGTTGGAGGGGAAAACAGCGTGAGAAAAGAACGAAGGAAACAGAAAGGGAGAAAGAGAGAAGTGAGAAGGAGATCAGCCTTAAAAGCGGTGATTCCTTGTGGGATTGGGATAATTTGAAGGAAAAAGATCAAAACTTGTCAGAAAGAGTCAGATGAAGAATCAAGAGTCGGAAGTATGTGAGATGGAATGATGAGGGGATAAGGGGAATACGATGAGGGAAGGGAGGGAATCTGTATTGAGTGAAATGAGAGTTTATGAGAGGAATGCAGGAGAACCAGAGAGGGCAAGAGGGAAGACTAAATTATAGCGTTAGAATATTGAGAATGAGAGAAGGCAGAGACGACTTAACAAGGGGTAGAATGGAAAAGTAGTGAAGTCAGACTCAAGAGGTGCGTGAGACTGAAGCGTGGGAAAGAAGGGGGGATGAGAAGAGTGTGTGTGGGAAAGAAAGGGGTGAGCGAGTTGAGGGGAAGAGAGGGATCAAGAGTGTGGAGAAAAGTTGAATGGAGGTGGAAGAAACAGAAAGATGTCGCGAGTAGGAAAGGTGAGTCATTCTAATCGGAGACACACCGGAGTAGGTGTTAGGAAAGCCTTGAGAAAGGCTCTTCGTGTTGGAGCATGTTGGGGCAAGTTGGGACATGAGAAGGCAGTGGACTCATTGTGAGCTGTTGCCAAACCCACGTTGACACTAAGAAAATGTACTGTAGATAATGCACGCAAAGCATGGCCCTCATCGTTTCCGAGAAGTTCCATTCCTTACAGGGTCTTCTCCCACTCTCTTCTTCCTCGTTTCCCCAGTATCCCTTAATGACATTCACATTAAAATATATTTTGACCTTGAGAAACAAATATCTTTTTTCCGCGGCATCATGATGTCATGATTGTGGGGATTTCGAGGGCTCGTGGGAGACCTCTTCCGTTCGAGTCAGAAACTAAAGGTGTCGAGTAGCTCCCCTAAGGTGTCGATATTGGAAGGTGCGTTTAAAAATGGGAATTTTTCGCGGAATATTCGAAACGGACTTCTTTTTCCGACGCGAATGAGACGCATTGTTCGTTTAAGGATTCAATTTCGAATTTCGGTTACTTAGCCGCAATATTTTTTGAAAAATAAAAATGTTCCGCGAAGATAACAAAGTGGAATTTCCGAAGAATTACAGGATGAATTTTCGGAGCATTGCGGGAAGACCAGGTTTACAAGCTCTAAAAAGTTGAACATTTTCACGGTAAAAATGCTAACATTTCTGAAAACTAGTCAGTAGCCCGCGCCAAAGCACGCTAGAATTTAAGGGGACGTAGGGTTGTGGCTGCGGTTGGGTCGAGGAAAGGAAAAAGCCGTTGACAAATGTTTTTCACATTACTATATCCAGGAGTTTCATGCTTCACTTCTGACCTAATTGCAATGTTTTTGGGCTTGTTGCCTTGGATAATTATCATTTAGGAAGATGACTTAATCCACATCGGACTGGCAGTAACTGATGGTTCACTTGAGATCGCGCTTGATCGTCTCCTTCTTGGTTCTGCTTTTTGTTTGACGATGAGTATATAAAAGCTGAGCGCCACTTCATCTTTCAGAAATAACCTTTCCACGCAACTTACTGACTGAATAAAGAGTGGAATGCGAATAAGTAATCACCAGGATTTAGTGAAGAGCATATAAATAATAATGAGGTATGTGCTTCCAGAATGAGAACTGTGACAGCAAACATGTATAATCACATTAGGTAATCGCTTTTTTGCGTTGCAGCATGCCTATCCCAGATATAATATATACGTCAAAGGAGAAGGAGAGCAACCAGGAAAACAATTTCTGCACGTTGCCATATGCGCATGCAACCTGTTCATTGTACGGAAACTTACCTGGAAAATATATTCCAAATACAGTACAATGTCATCTTTTTATTAGAAGTAAGTCACACTGTTGTATCTCTCCATATAAAAAAGCTGCCGACTTATGCACATCGCCCGTCCGGAATGAAATACAGATGTGGCTGAAGTAGGAAAAGATGACCATCGTAGTCTTTACCCGATCACCGTCTCGATCCACTCGACGTATCTGAGAAACAGACGTGTAGACTCATATTTCGGCAAAGATCGATGAGATGAATCTGCACTTGCGAAACCACAGAAAAAGGATAGAAGGAAAAGCGAGGGCCTCACCGATAAACCCTGGTGAAAATCCCATATTCGCCACCCGCCCTCTTGGAGCATTCCTTTTTGCCGAGATGGTGACTCACGATTCCTTCGACGTGCCAGTGGTCCAAGGTTTTTGAATAGAAGACCATCGGACTGCCTGAATCCCCAGGACACACGGTTTGGAACTCTGTGCATGAAATTCCACGAGCTCCATTAATATGGATGTCACGAATCGAAAACCACTGGAAATAAGTCATTTTTGTCGTTTCAAGGACACAGGAATCGTCAACGTCGATGCCTAGCTTAAAAAAAAAAACACATTTTGAGGACCAAAAATGGACCCACTGGTTGAAAAAATCATCGAGTGTTCACTTAAGACCTCCCTGAATATGCGTATCCCCAAGTCACAGTCTTCCATCCTAATTCCTGAAATGCTTAATTTTTCTTGAGGCTGATACGCACAATTGATGCATCTATCTGAAATAAAAGCTCTAAACCCTGTTGATGGGCATAATAATATCGTTATGAATAGTGGGTGTAGATGAATAGCTGAAATGAATTATTGGCTGGACGCTCCAATGGTCCATCACCACGAAATAATTCAGAACTTGTGCTCCTTCTAACAGTAATATATATGGAGATCAACTCTGGGTAGAGAAACTATTATAAGTCCTCTTGCAAAAGCATACAGATTTTTAAATACGTATTGCAAAAAGATACAAAAGACATTTCTTAATTGGGTTAGAGTCACGAGGACGTGATGCATGAACGGAAGATTACTAAGAGACTCTACGCAGATCACTTTCCTTACAGGGACTTACCGGCGTCTTGACCATACCTGTTTCAGAGATAGCCGTATTATGTCCAGCACAAAATTGGTTGCCGGTGAGGGTGCGGATGGTGTCAGGATTGCCAGTGACATTAGTGATATCCCGACGACAAATATTATTTGCTACCACCGGGATCTGTATCTTCGTTAATTCTTCGCTGAGGACATCCGAACCGTTGAAACCCCAAGCCGCCACCTGCCGTGAAACCGCGCCGATGACGAGAAACCAACGCTTTGGGGAACGAGTGATATGAAACTATGTCTCACCAATCCTATGTTTCCATCCTTGAGGTTGTTCTCCGTGATCTGAAGATTCTTCGGGATGCAGATCAACTGCACTCTGTCCGTCAACAGGACCGGCTCTGTCAGTTTCAGCAGGGCGATGTCAGAGTCGAAGTTATGAATGTTAAAGTCTTTGGATGAAAAGATCACAGACACCTGGAAACAAACTGGATTAATTCACATCACGAAACGCTGGAAATTTCGATACGAGAACGATATAACAATAATTCGGTGACCTCTCTCTTCTGCACGAAGTCATCGTCCAATGAATCATTCCGATGATGTTTCCCCAAATAAACGTGGAAGTCATTCTGAGGCCGAGGTCGCGAGGTACCATCATGTGTGATACAATGAGCTGCGGTGAGAACCCATTGTTTCCGAATGAGAGCCCCTCCGCAAACGATGATTTTCTTATCGACATCGTAAATGGCAGCCTGCCATGGCCATTCTCCGAGACTCGATGGCTTGCCCCCGGCCGACAACACCGTCACCAATCGCCTCTTCCCGCATTCTAGGTTGGGAGAAGGGCTGCATGCTGAGGTGCGGTGGATTCACCTCGGAGCAGTGGAGGATCGAGACTCACTCGGATCGCAGAAGGGAACGTGGCCAGACCATTTTCCTCTCTCTGTGCATATCCGGACCCGCGATCCCCTGATGACATAATGATCGTCGCACTTGTATTCCACTTTGCTTCCGGGCACGTACTTCCCGTCTCTGATGCAATCTGTGCTGATTCCTACGTCGACTTCTCCAATTCCACTGCCGAAAGCAATTCCGTAAATAAAAAAATTTTTTACCAGGTCGATTTCCTAAGCGATAAAAAAGAGACAAATACTGCATGAATCTTGGCAATTTGTTTCCTCACCTCGTGACAACACCTGGGCAAGACTTTCGAACAAATCCGTTCAGAAATTCATGAGGTTCTTCGCATCCTCTAGAACCCACGGCTGGAACAAATAGAAATTTAAAGTGTTTTATTTTTTTCTTCCATTCCAGGTCAGGGTGAAACCTTTGACCCTTCATAGGCCGTGATTCAGTAGTTCGCGCATTCATTTAATGTTCCTATATTTTATTTCACTCTTATTTTAAAGAAAGAAATCTGCATGATCCGTATCTTCTAATATGTTTGACTAATTTTCCACTTTGAATCCGGAACCATTTATGCATTCGAACAAGGTACAGGCTGTCTGAAAAGTTGTGAACGAATTCAAATTGCAATTTTTAGACGCCCCCCCCCCCCCCCCCGGATCAAAACGATCTTTTCAACATTGAAAGCTGATATTGGGGGGAAATTATTTGACGCATAAACGAACATGATGGATTACAATGAGATCAGTTCGAGATGGTTTTATGAATATGTCTGTTCCACAAACATTTCGATGCAAATAATGTATTTATCGAGAACAACAGAAATAAGAGCAATACAACTCAAATAATCATGGCTCATATGACACTTGAATGTGTCATTCATTGTTCAAGCCTCCCTGGAGTCAATCATCGTGGGCTAAGACTGTCTCACGTCTCATCTCTAATGTGACCTGATTAATTGCCTCGTGAATGCGCTCTAAGCTCATCCAAGTTGGCGATCGGCAGAAATTTCAAAAGGAGTGCTGTTCAGAAAAATCAAGGATCTTCTCAAAAATGCAAAAACAAGAGCAGGCATCAACGATGACCTCTAATACCAAGGTCAAAAAGAGGTGTTTAACGGACGGTGAAGTCGCTTCTGCTGTGGAATCTCGGGCCGACCGATTCACGCTGCGATCGTACCTGTCTGTTGGGGCGTCGTCGTCTTGTTTACGGCCATGGCTCGGAAGTTCGGCTGGCAGCACAGCTCCTGGGCTCGGCAGCCCTCCACCTTCGACAAGATGACTGTCTCTGGATTGCAGAGGGGGAGGAGGCCGACCTGGACGCACGAGTAGGGGCAGGGCTGAAGGCACTCTAATTCGTCCCATCTGAATTTATGAAATTCGATTCCATTTCGACACTTCCCGCCGATGCTCTTGAAGAGTCGGTCGTTCGCTAACCATTCAGCTTCACAATCGCACTGAATGGTATTCCCTGCTGGTGTTCCTCCTTCGGGGGAAAATGCTGGACAAATCAATATTGGATTGAATATAGAGTTCGTTTTCTCATTCATCATGTGACGCAAAATAACGGATTTCGGGAGAGCGTAGTGTGTTGCGAGAAAACCGTGGAACTCACAATTTACGTCGAGGATCCCGTTCCCGCGCGACAGGACTTGTAGAATGGACTGGAAGCTTTCCTTCGGGAATATGGCGATATTGTTGTGCTGTAGATCGACATACGTGTTGGGTGTCAAATCTGGAATGGACACGAGACCATTATACGCTTTCCGCTCCCAACTTCCAAACTATACTGAAAAACTGTGCGGAGGTTTTTGATTGACTTGATATGATAAGCCAAGATCGCCTAGGTTTAATTCAATTGTATCTCAACTATGAGTCATGTAGCACTGAAAATTTCATTGATAGGGCTATTTAAATATTCAATCTATGCTGAAGAAGTTGTGAGTTGAGCTAAACCTCATCTTCACCTGTATGATATCAATACATTTCAGGGTATGCTGACACTAATGCGTTTGATGGCAGAAACATGCAGAAGCAAAGCGGACCACTCCCATAGTGCGATTAGCGGTAAGAGTGACGACAGTGTAGGCGTGACCAGGCCCCACGTTTGTTTCTGGTACTGTTATATATCAGCCATGGAACATAGATGAAAAGGTACATAATTGCGTTTATCCTGCTTTGTGTATATCATAGAATTCCTCTGTTTCGATTGAGTGACAAATGTTGACAGCCTTATGTAAACTCTAGTGCTTAATTCGGCGAGTTTATTTCCACTTCCACTGAGTGATTCATAATGCTATTTAAAAAGTTCCCTTTTCTACGAGTACATCATGCAGAGAGTGATCGGTGTCGCTTAGAATTGAATATTATTGGAGTTCAATTCTGACTGCACATTGGCATAGCATCTCTCAACACTTTAATGTAGTCTCTTTTTTTTCAAAAGTGCATCAAAAAATTAACGGTGGCTATGGCATATTACAATTCTGTGACCATTTTGGAGCCAATATGCACTATAAAAAACATTTCATCACAATATTGAGTTATTGGCCGATTGAACGAAACGAACGAGGCGTTGAATCGGGAAACTTGAGAAAATATTCACATACATTCATCATTCATTTCCATCAATTTTCGAACATTGCTCAGATTGAAGAAAACCTCAGAACCTGTTGAAATTTGAGACTCTTTAAGACACTTTCGGAAAGCACTTGGGACATTTCGCATTCCAAAAGTCGTATTTCTAAAGGCCTGGAGGCCAGTTACTTTCGGATTTCCCACGACGTGTGATCTCCGAGAAAAAAGTATATTAATGAATTGGAAAATGTTCAAACGTACGACCTCGGCTAGTTCATGAACCCTTGAGTTCTCGGGTGAATGAGAAAAGCGGTTAATGTTATTTTTTCCGTTTTTCATGCCCAGCCGATTGAAATCTGCAGGGCGTCGCTCATAGACCGATTTTGAACGACTTAAAGAAATGGTTTGTTGGATGAGGTGGAGCAAACGATCTGGATTAACGTCTCCCAAAAAAGTAAATAAAAAATTCTAAGGTAACAATATATTCCTCATGGAAATTCCTGTCCCGAAATTCAGGTCAGCAGTCTCGTACGACTTTTTTTCACGTCCATCGGCCCAAATTATTCAGAAAACGAAGAAAAGTTTCACCTAGTGCATTAACTCCACAAAAGCCTAGGTTAGCGCAGCTCTTGGCGGCAGATGGAGGAGGAAATCGTTATGGAAACGGTTCGAATGTAACGAATCTGTGCCCTCGAATTAGCGGAAACCAACAACTCAAACTTGACGCCTGCAGGGTATACACTGATTTTGCACGCCCTCTCATTCAGCACCCACCCCGCCCCTGAAACAGAACACATGGGCCAAATTTAAATTCCTCGGACGCAGCGGTGCGCACAATGCGGAATCCTGAAGGACGCAGGAGGTATCGCAGTTATCCCCACATATCCGAATTCGGGGCTGGGAAATTACAATTCTGACCCGGTGGACATTTGAGGTAACTCGCATCCACGATCTAAAGGGGAACGGGGCTAGAGAAAGACTGAGGATCCTACCTGTGATGGCTCCGGGCTCCAACGTGACGATTTTATTCCAAGCGAGATTCACCACCTTCAAGGTCTCGCTGCGGAAATTGAGTAACCCGCTCGGAATGTTCGGACCCAGGTTGCATTCCGTGCAAGAGAACTCCTCCAGTCTCGCCAATCCATTGATGACATCCGATGGGAACTCCGAGAAAGGGTTCCCATCTGTATGAAACACGTGGGACAGAATCACAAGATGAAGAAGAGATCGTTTTTCGACTGAAGCTATGCCACAGTATACGAGAAATACCTCGAAGTTATTCCGCCACTATAACAATCGGGATAGATAAAAGGCTAGAAATAATATATCAACCATTATATTCAAAGGGAGTACGAGATAATTTCTGAAAACACAATATACTCCGACTTTCCAGGGAAATTTGAACTGCTGAGAACTCTTCCGGCCTTGCTTTTGCCAAGCACCTGCAGCAGGAAAGGTAAGGTCTGATTGCTACAGAATGAAAAATATATATATTTAAAATGATATGGGCAACAGAGTTTGTTTTCAGAATGATTTCGCCGTTAACCACTCGGTGCCTGACTCGTGGTTACCGCTGCGGCGAAGAACGCCACCCTTCAGTCCAGGGATCGGGAACCTATGGCTCATAAGCCATAGGTTCCCGACTTACGAGCCGAAAGGTTTTGCTCATTAATTCTTGGCTGAAAGTCATGGTTGTTCCTCGTTCTTCTCGTGTCAAAGAACGCATGTCTGTTGCCAACTTCTGGAAAAATTATGTCCTGAAAATCTACCGCTCACAAGCACTTTGCTCAATCTTGTTATGGCTCACGAGGTAAAAAATGTTCCCGACCCCTGCTTTAATGGTTTCAGAGAAGCAGACGAAGTTAAAAAATTTCGAGACTACGCCTTGAAATGGGAATATTCGCATATTGCAGGAGATATTGAATGGTTACCTAAAATGAGTTTCTTCAATTTAGGAGTCGCCCATCCGTCTTTCTCAAACCTCAAAATTTTATTCCACATTAGGTAGAGTTCCTCGAGGCTTCCGCTCCGAAGGGGCGGGACGGAAGCGAAGCGATTGAGCGGGAGGATGAGAGCCCTGAGGTTGGCCAGCCGGGGGAGGACGTCGAAGGGAAAACTCTCCATGTTACTTGAGAAGATTTCTAGCATGAATAGCGTCTTTGAGGAGGCGAGGAGGGCTGACGGATGGATCGTCTTCAAGGCGCTGTTGCGGATGCTGATCCTCTCGAAGGAGACGCTTGCGAATGCTTCTTCTTGGAGCTCTTCCACGTTGGGGTTCTTGTCCATCTTGAATTTCCTGCGAGGATATAGAAAAGAAATCACGGATTTTCTCCAGATGCTCTTACGTAAAAATATATTTAACCTTGGGAATTATGTTCGAATGATGGTCGAACTTGATCATGACCGCCCCCAATCAGAACAAGTCCTGTCTTACAGCGATGAGGAATGCCTGGTCCCGGCCCAAAGCCCATGAGGTGCTTGCATTTATATCAGTTATTACGAGAACTACGGTATTAACTGTAATACATGAGTAAGATATGAGTCCACGTCGACGAGGACGACAAAGATGAAAGAAAGGACGTTAAAGATCCCATGCCGACATCATTGAAACTCCTTCAGCGGTAAGAGTGTTTTGGGGTTTTTTAAATTTAAATTTAATCAGGTGAACGTGCCAGCCGTGTACAGCGCGGAATCGGAATCATAGAATCATTGGAATCATAGGAGCGTATCTTCGCGCTTGAAACAACGCGAGATTGCGGACTTCCTCGTCTTGTAATGACGTACTAGGCAACATAGTGTCACAACATGTTGTATTCGTGCATAACATATGCTTCAAAATGCAGCGATGAAAAATACATAAACACAACCTCCCTTATAACGATCCTTGGCTATAACACCTACTCTTTTATTGGTCCCTGCAACGATGTTATTTGCGAGTTGAATATGACAATTTTGCAAAGCCAACCTTTCTTGAACCACCCTTCACCCCCCTCCCCTTCTCTCCGGGACAACCTGTGCCTAACCCAAGACTCTCTACAGGTCGTGCCTCGGCCTACCCTTTCTTGCGATTCACCTCTCCACCAATGGGCCAGTTAGGCGTGTAATTGGTCTATCTTGGGGTTTTCCTGATGCCTCGGTGAGGACGATATGGCGGACCGTGGGCCTACTTTTCTGGAGTTTCTCTCGGCGTCTCTGATGTCCGAGGATAGTTTCTCGTTTAACGGATTTCATTCCCATTAAAAATCGAAACATTTAACCTGAACCGAAACTAAAAATTAAATACGCAGCAAATGGGACCACAAAAGTAACAGAAGACGCAGGTGAAATCAGAAGCATTTTTGAATACATCAGCACGATTTAAGACAACCGGGGGGAAGGGACTGGAGCTCGCACGAGAAGTCTAAATAAGCCCTAGTCGATTTCATTTTTCACGACGATGAGGTGCATCGCCAGCCAACATCTACAAAGCCATACACCTTGTGAAACAAAAAAAAGTGCCGCTCTTTGAAATGTTGTGGCACCTATGAAGCAGCAGCTGGAACCATGAAATTACTTTCATACACACCCATCTCTTAAGCATTCACAAATTTTGGCTTATCTTCGGCCGTTTTACCGCAAGATCAACTGGAATTTCCTTTTTGCATTTCCACCTGGACGACGACGTCCACCTGTCCAAATCAGGATTTTTTCCTCTGCACCTCAGAAGTCGCTAAGCGGATGTCTGACGCGTCCTTACGTCTGCCAATTCGCATATAATATTTTTTTTTACATTCCAGGATTATCATCTTGAGAAACAAGGACTTCTTCCACTGGAACATAGTTTCCTTCCGGATAATTTTAATTTTCCTCTCGGCTAACCCGGTTTCTCGCAGCTTGTGAATCAATCGCTTAACAATTGCCCTACATTTCATTCATCCCTTACCTTAAATTCTGGCAAAATTTTGCCCACCCCATCTTTCCCCTATGAGTAGCATTTTCATCGGGAAAGGGAGGAGCTCTGGTCCGAGATTTGTGGGCTCCACGCATCCCAACTACTCTTCTGCTGATACGTTTCCTAGCGCAAAAAAATAAAATTCGAGTCGCCTTCGCATAAATGCTCTTGTGCTAAAACGACTGGAGAAAAGTGAACTAGAATTTCAAGAGGTTTCAAGGATACGTAGATGTCGTTGTGAAACGGAAAAATTTGCCGTGTTATCGTTTACTTCGTAAGCTTTAATTAGTCTCAAAGAGCGGCGCCGCACTATTTTTGCCACACCCGGTATTTCTTTTAGTTAGATTATTTCCTCCCAATCTACCCCCACCCGACATTCAGAGGAAGAGGTGAAAAACTTCGGAATGAAATTCACTCTTGCTAAAAAATAAAAAATTACATTAATAATAATAAAATGAAAGTAGGATTGTGTTTCCTCCATTACCCAATGGCAATGAAGCTTCACATTTTCGGTAATGATTCTGCGTTGAGTGGGTAAGAAGCATATCTAATTATGTTCCTCCAAATGCTCCCGGGAAGAATTACGAGGAATTGACATTTTGGAACGGAGAAGGGATGAAAAAATAAATGAAAAGCGCTCCTATTGATAACCAGCCCATTTGCACCGAGTCGCAACATTTGGATCGGCTGCGAAGACACCCGTGAAGATGGAGTTGTCCCGGTGAATGTTCTCACCCTCCCTCCTGGACATTTCTTTGGGCAGAGAAACGGATTCGATAGAGCATATCGTTGATTCGAAGCACACGATGTTCGCTCTATTCTAAAAGGTGAAGCCACAAGCTAGATTATCTTTGCCCCAAAGAGCGAGGTGATACAGACAAATCTCTTGGTGTGATTCAGGGAATAATGCTTTAATGAACGATGAGAAATGGTCATCACGATGTCGATTTGAGGGAAAGAGAATGAAGCCGTGAGGAATGAAGATTCCGTCAAAATTAGTTATTTTTACTTATTTCATTTTATTAATTATTTATTTATTCATATTTATTTATTTATCTATTTATTTGTATGCATTATTATTATTTTAAGTTTGAGGGGGAGGGGGCGGATGTTTCCCTCATTCAACGGTAAGAAAGCAAAGATTTTGAAATAGGATTTGTTTGGCTTCACAGAGGTCCGTTTCTCTTGGAAGTCGAAGAGATGGACTAATCCGTTTGTTCGGTTCGTAAACCAACTGGAAACTCTAGGATGATCCTCAGAACTGGTTCAGTCCGACACTCAGAACCGACGTACGCGCTAATTCGATTTCCTTACGTGAGGCTGAAAGCGATGAGAAACCTGGATGGAAGATCTGGCTCACCAGAATTGAGTCGATGACCAGGAAACCTTGTTGAAGGCCGACCAGAGCTTCTCACTAGTCTCAGCGCTCGAGCAATCCACTGTCACTGCGCCGGCGCGTGGTTCGTAGCATGTGCAGGGCACCTGCCCCGAATTCCCCAGCCTCGTCCAGTTCGGGCAGTCTTTGTGCCCGGCCACCCAGGGGAAGGGGGAAAGGAGGGAAATCCAGAGGAAGGCGAAGGATCCGGTCATCCTCGTGGACGAAGGCTGGATGGGGTTAGCGCGGATTAGGACTCTCTGGGTTCCTCACGGGGTCTGCATGGGCGCCTGAAGGTAGGGTCTCATTCTGCGAAAGGGAGCAAAAATCCTGTTAGGAGAGACTTAAATTCTCTACAGTGATTTATTGAAAAAAAAAATTGCTTTCATCGGAATCTGAACCCCGAAAAACCCAGACAGTATCGTTTTGTATGCATCAAACATGGCATTCAAAAAAGTTAGTGCTCTCTTTGGACCTTCCCTCAATCTTACCAATGCGTGTAAAAAATGTGGATGAAACTCTTTCCATTCGCAAGTCGCTTTCAGATTTATGAAGGTATTTGGTTGTGGCGAAGGATAGACTACGAAGTGGACCAAGCATGAACTTCCTTCATAGGAGCTTTAAACCTCAACCCCTTACGAATTGACGGGACAAAGCGGCCGTTATGAAACGAAGGTTCCAGTTATAGTTCATACGAAAACAAATCATTCACTGCCACAAATAGTTACTATGTATTGGACATATTTATAGGGGGATTTATAGGGGGCTTCCTCTTCTTCAAGTCATGAATGCAAATGTGCTTCGAGATCAGAGGTATCAAGCATATGGTTGGTTTCGTAGTATTTGACTTGACAGTGAAGTAGTCCTTGCCTGAGGATTTAACGTTTTACCTGAAATGACAAGATTATTATGTGGTAATTATCCAAGCGATTCTTAAAAAGGCAGAGAATAATCCGTTTATTCCCAAAGAATAACTTAGGAGTAAACCCTGACTCTGCGTAGCCCTCTGATAGCACAATGATTTCGCGATACGCCATGTCAAATGGCATTTTGACGCATACTGCTCCGCATTATGAATAATTTATCTCCTGGGGAAAATAAAAAAGACTCAACACATGTTGGAGGACGAAAAGCCTGTCGATGGGGGAAACCATGCACTCATAGGGCAAGAAAAGGATTCGGACGTGACGTGACAGCCTTCTTTTCTCTGGACCGGTCATTTTCGTTAGAGCCCTGAGTGTTGCAATTCCTTCTGATTTTTTTGTACCGCCGGAGGGAAGGCTTACTTGCACTCGCATTGGGCTGGAGAAGCATCCGTGACCTTGAGGCTTCAATGGAGACTCTCCAGGCAGGGAGGGGAAGGGGAAATACGTGACGGAAATGCCGATGAGATCCGAATGGACACTCTTGCTCCTTTCCTCCGGCACTGCCTCCTATCCGACGTAGCCTTGGATGGAATCCAAAGGAATAGAAGCCTTCCCTTCTCTTGTGTCCCCCGACTTCCGCGACGAACGTATGGGTGTCGTGCCGAGGCTTTCCCTCCTGATCTATGGCGGAGATATAGCCGGTTTCTTCGCGAATCCGAGCGGAAATGCGTCATCAGCCCAAGGGATTTCCCACGAAAGGTTTCATCGATGCGACGATTCCTTTCGATGCCGGCCTTTCTAATCGTGTCGTCTGCACACACAGAGCGGAGAGGCATACAACACGTGTCATGTCATGTGTCATACGTGTTTCGAAAAATTTGTCCAGATTGAAATGAGGTGTCTTTCTTCTCGAGGTGTCTTTCTCGCAGGCGACTTTATTATTCGTAAGATGTTAGAGACCCCCCGACAGGAAATCGTGAAATTCAGTTCTGTCTTGCAGAGAGGCGTAAACTACGCCTGACATCATACTATCCTTGACAATGAGGTATGAAACCGAGCCATGAATGGAGAGAAGCTTCCATGCTGAAATGAGCCCTGTCCAATTTCCGGATTGGCTCGTGGGTCTTTTGGCAGGAAAACTTCCTCCAGCAGCCGACGGCTGACTCAATAAATCACAAAGGCGGAAGGAGAGAATGATTCTTACTCTTGATGCCCGCGAAGTCTTCCTCACGATGAACGAAAGGAACCTCCTCTTGAAGGCCGATGGAGAATTCACACGATATCAACTTCCATCTCGCGAATGACTGCACGCGAAAGAGGGAGGATCGTAGAGGACGGCCTCCCCGACGAGGCTTTCTCTCACCTAGACCGTGCGTATTGGGACAGAAGGCCTCACTCCTTGCGTGGAGTCTGCCCGCGTAGTGCATATGTTCCGCCTCTCCTTCGTCGGAGGAGCTCTTAGCGGTTACTTCCGTGTTTGCATCGTTCCAACTATTTTGCTTAATTTCGAGGTAGTACTGCTTACTTTATGTGTGGGTCCATCTTTTCTCTCCGAAGGGATTGTGCAAATACGAGAAGTACACTAGGTAAACTGGAAATACCAGAATAGTGTTGTATTGTTCTGGTGTATTCGTGATGTATTCGATCAAAGGATTCCTGAAATAAAAAGCCCACTTGGGCTAGGACAACAAAGTCGAGAGTCGAACGAGGTAGTACAAAATGCATGAGGACCCAATCTAATGGAGTTCTTATCAGTCTAGGACGGGGGTGCATGTGGTTCCAACCTTGCCCGCGACCCTCCATGACTGACGGAGTTCTAAGTGCTATAACGTCTCCTGCCCTGTTGGCCACAGCTATGCTCAGCCAGCCTCGTAGAGGGCGGGTGGTCTGGAGGCCATACGGGCCGAAATATGTTTGTAAAATCGTTAATGGGCCCTCGCAGTCACCCCTGGTCTAGGAGTTACCGATCGTATGATAGAATTCAGGAAGAGAAACTGGACAGACAACGGTCTCTATATCGTTTTCTCGCTTTGGTTAATAATCTCTGGCGCGACAGATTGAAAGAAAGGAATGGATAGGAAAGGAAGTCATTCTCATGAGCAAAATCATTATAAAAACTCATACGTGGGCTACAGAGAAAAAAGAAACCATGCGAAGGTGATGAGCGTTGACAGGAATTCTGAGATCGGAAGGAAGCGGAGCTACTGAAACAGAATTCGTACAGAATGCTGGAAGGAATTCTACGTCGGGATACTTAGGAATAAAGGAAAATAGAGATCGAGGGGTCTGGGAGAAACAGAGGATGGCACTGCACAAAAATATGAAATTCCAGATCCGTGAGAGAGAAGGAAGTGATGCGCCGCTTGGAAAAAAAAGTCAGGACAGGGAATACAGACCGATTCATCGACATAGGCTGATTCTCCTTTATTCCCGTCATTGCAGGAAGGTGCGATCCAAGTAGACAAAATGTGCAAGTTGGTGTTTGTTATGCACGAAAATTACGATTGAACATAACGGGTGGAGAGACGAAGAGAGGAAGGTCTCCCCAGAGGCATGCAGCTGGCCCTGAGTCGGCGTTCACCGGGTATCCATCCCTTTTCGCTTCGATATTCCCTGCACCTTTTCTTTATAGCTAGGAAGCGGACTGATCTATAGGCACCGATGGGAGTTTAAAAAATGGAATTCATTTAGAAGCCTTTTTCGTGGAAATACCCATATAAAAGGGTTTCCATATTGATACATTTTCATCGATCAAGGATCGTGGATGTAATTCGTAATCATCATTCCAACCATCTTAGGAGAAATGTTCCTTAACAATATTCGTCCCATCTGACTCCCGGGGTCTGATTATTTGGGCAAGACAATCAGGGAAGGTGTAGTCGTTGGCTGGGGCCTTAGTGATAGAGGTAACTCCCGTCTTATGCCTTCTAAAAACATGTAATCGTTGGACTGTATTAGAGGTCCCCCCATGTTCTCGGCTTTCAGGTGGATTGAAGACGGGGCCGTTGCCGAAATGGGTACAAATGACTAATGTAAATACACTCCCTCCTGAAATCTGTTCCAAAGTGATTGGGCCCTTTTACCATAAAGAGACAATGATCTGTGCTTTGGAACAGCATGGACGTATCTGCAACGTAAATACCCGGAGCACCCGAGATAAAATTAGTATTTATTTCCTCAGGCATTTGGGATCAACTAAAGTAAGGGATTCGATTCCACAGGGAGCTGGAGGAGCAGAGCTGGCAACAATTCTCAGGTACACACGATATCCATTGGAAGAGTCAACAACCGCTCGATTACCGATGGGACCGGATGAACGAGAATGCTCGAGATCCCCGCTGTATATCTTGGCAGGAATAACTTAATGGACGAAAAGGGAACAGCGATCCCAAAATCCCGACTGGATATGATCATTAACTTTGTTTACGTTTGTTGTTCCCAGCCTCATAAATCGACGCGTCAGAATCGACCCCAACTAGATGATCGGTCGACGGAGATGCGGAATGCAAAGGAGTGCCTCGCCCCTTCACAACTAAAGGCGTCATATTGAATGATCTCAGTCGTAGGGGAGAGAGGCACCACCGCGCTCACATTCGTGCGAGACTTCAAAGTCGACCGATCGCAGTCAGGTTAGTTCTCTTTCTGGTTTCCTGAGTAAGGCTCTGAAATGCAGGAGAATGGGGTTGCGAGTTGGTTGCGAGTTCTACCGTACAAGGCTTGCTCAGGTCTGCTTTCCTTTAAGCAGCCTGCGGTCATAAATATTATTGTATTTTGGCTTACGATCATGAAATGCATGTGCCTATATCAAAGCACGACCATTCAATATTGGGCAGAGATATCGATATTCGAATTCGTTGCTGGATTTCATGCCCTAAATATTTCAATCTTGCGACTAGGGCCTTCCAGCAGACCTATAAAAAAACATCCTTGACTATTTTGGCATGAAAACCCTCCCTATGCTGGCCAAATCTGTGGATGAATGTGTTTCACTAGAAAAAATATCTCAGTGGAAGTGTCCCCCCACCCTAATTCCAATACCCTCAGATATGAGATCCCCCCCCCCCCGCGCTGTTTTTCAGTATCACGTACTTCATCTATGACCACCTAAGACCCGAGAAAGATCAAAGTCAATGGATGTTTCTTGGGGCTCAGGTCTGAACAAGATAATGCACTGCAATTGTAATAGACTAATGAAGGGCGAGGTAGTGGAAATATAATGTATCCTACAGGGAGCATTATATTAATACTTAAGCATGTAATGTGCTAAATGATAATTACGTCAGGTACCATGTGACGCAACGCTAAGGGTATGGAGACAATTGGAGACAACGTTGTTTTGCACTGCCCATGCCACGGGTGGGTATTGACTCTCTTGAGCCATTCTAAATCGTTCGCATTTCACGTGTTTAATACACGCAGGTGCTACGCTTCCCAAGTCAAAAAGGACTTTACTGTGAACAAGCAAACGACAAGATTACGCGAGCAAAAAGGAAAACATTCATTGCCAATCTTGGAAATTTTTTAAAGAATCTCAACGTTTCGTTCAACTTCTGCATTCCCTACACCGACGATGATGCTACTGGTATTCCATCTTCCCAAATGCTTCTTTCCTTTCTCATCATTTTTCTCAAAAACATGTCAATAGTGATCCTCCTTTGTTTTCTTCCGTTTTCCCAGATGTTTGCTCTCGTTGGATTGCTTGTGCCAGCCGTTTTCTCCACTTCCCTCGATGGTGAGGACCTTCCTATGATGCCTCTCATGACAGCATCTCCATTCGAACACATGGACTTGCAGATTTCAATTACCGTATTTATCAAATATACCTTTCAATTTTCAGGCGAGAGAGTATCTCCACTCAACATTAAATGCAGTGAATGATGCCTCTCATGACAGCATCTCCATTCGAACACATGGACTTGCAGATTTCAATTACCGTATTTATCAAATATACCTTTCAATTTTCAGGCGAGAGAGTATCTCCACTCAACATAAAATGCAGTGAGTGTGCGGATTTCACTTCAAACAGTATAAATAAATATGCAGTGAATCAGCTTCGTACTGGAAACCTTACCTTTTGGAATTCCGTGAACATTTATATCCTCAAACGTGATATTACACGCATTGTTACGTGATATCGTAATGGCGGATGTGATTTCATATCGAAGTGACTGAGGCAATTCCTGTAATGTTTAGGTGAGAAAAATGAATTCCTAAAAGCAATCAAGTTTCAATGATTTTTAGTATGAAGCGAGGGTATGTCATGTTGCGCTTTTTCTGAAGAATATGTTTTCTATTTAAAACTTTGTCAAACTGGTCCCTCATATCTTCCGCTGCTTCTTCTCCTGCATTTAGACTGCGGTTTGACCAGTTTTCCTGACGTTAGGGTGGAAAACGAGACATATCAGTTTTTTCGTGCGTCAGTAGCCCTTAGGCACTAAGAAGCCTTTGCAAAGATCTTGGCTTTGGAACGCGGGCCTGAAGACGAAGGATGGGGAGTTTGTTTGTGGGGGTTCCCTCATCAATAGCCAGATTGTCCTCACGGCCGCTCATTGCGTTTACAGGTGTGTCGCATATGAGTCATTTGTATCATCGCCGTTAGATGTAGAATGGGAGGAACGAAGTCGTCGCTCAGATGACATGAGTTGCGGCCTTCACTTGGGGCTGGTGTCCTCGAAATTTACGAAAGGGGTGTTCTGTTAAAACTAAAACGAGAACAGTTTCAATTTCTGTATGCTATGCGACGTACACAGAAATCGCCATGCTGTGCAGTTCCCTCAACATAAAAAAAATGAATTGCGAGACCCAGTTTCTGCACGTAAAACTTCGAATCTTCAATCCTACTTTAAGGAGGATCCGTACTCTTTCTATGTGTCTCTGGGCGATTACGACAGACTTCTGCCCGAAACCGGTCAGTTGGATATGAAGATCAGGTCAATATTCATCTATCCAGGCTTCAATTGCAGCACTTACCAGAATGACTTTGCTGTCATCATTTTGAATGATACGGTTCCCTTCCTTGAATATCCCAATATTCGTCCCATCTGACTCCCGGGGTCTGATTATTTGGGCAAGACAATCAGGGAAGGTGTAGTCGTTGGCTGGGGCCTTAGTGATAGAGGTAACTCCCGTCTTATGCCTTCTAAAAACATGTAATCGTTGGACTGTATTAGAGGTCCCCCCATGTTCTCGGCTTTCAGGTGGATTGAAGAACGGGGCCGTTGCCGAAATGGGTACAAATGACTAATGTAAATATACTCCCTCCTGAAATCTGTTCCAAAGTGATTGGGCCCTTTTACCATAAAGAGACAATGATCTGTGCTTTGGAACAGCATGGACGTATCTGCAACGTAAGTACCCGGAGCACCCGAGATAAAATTAGTATTATTTCCTCAGGCATTTGGGATCAACTAAAGTAAGGGATTCGATTCCACAGGGAGCTGGAGGCGCAGGGCTGGCAACAATTCTCAGGTACACACGATATCCATTGGAAGAGCCAACAACCGCTCGATTACCGATGGGACCGGATGAACGAGAATGCTCGAGATCCCCGCTGTATATCTTGGCAGGAATAACTTAATGGACGAAAAGGGAACAGCGATCCCAAAATCCCGACTGGATATGCCCGTATCACAGGTATTTTTTTTATTCTCTCCCATTCATTGTGCTCACTCTGTTTTTCTCTCTGATCTTTCGTTGGAATTTACATCCTGACCTTCAGGAAGTGTGATCGCCTGGATTGAAAGTATAATGCACATGGATATGTTCTAATGCCCGGAACCGCATTAGGAATATTTCTGGAACCCTCATCTGGCGAAGTGGTATTTAAGAAATTCATGTGAACGGACGGCAACACGGTTTCGTCAAGGACTTTTGAATCGCCAAATCGTTGCTGAAAACCAATACGTGGCTAAATGTTTTTCTTTGTACTAGGGGGTAAGGGAAACATACGAGTAACATGCACATGATATTCATTACGTAATTTTATGATCATGCTCTATCGGACTTTCATAGTTTTACCTTATAGACATGCCACACTTCGAGAACCCGAGATAATGGAATAATAAAGTTGCATGACATTTGGTATCGTTGCTCCTTTAAATTACCTCAACCTAAGGGTACAGCAACACTTAACCAGCCCAGCACATATTCTTCCTATGGTCCGCGATGACTTCACTTGCGAATGCTTCACGATGACGTCGTAAAGACTCCTATTCTGATTATTCACTATTTATTATTAATTGCGCCCTCTCGTCTTTTGTTAATTCTCCAGGCATCATTTACCTGGAAGGGAAGAAAAAATAATGAATATCGTCATAGAATGAAATACACTATGATGCGCGACTTTTGGGCCACCCTTCATAATACTAGCGACCTTGTTCATCCTTCCGGGAAAATAAAACAAAATCGTTATGGTCGCGCCTTCGGCGCTTCATTATCTAGGGCTTTGATTAATTTTCAATATCCGTTTTGACCAATCTGGTAAAACTCTTAGGGTCATAGGCATATTAGTTACTCTGTCGAGTTACTTCCCTTTATGTGCAGTCATTGCCAAGCTAACAAACGGAGTTCTTTAGCTTCTTAACACATTGCGTACCGAGCATTTTACCCTGTCGATCCGCCGCTCTGACCAAAGCCTCAGTTACCCTAGCCTAAAGCTCGATGCCTTCAGGGCTATGACTTTTTCGGCCATGGACTAGGCAAAAGAACTCGCGAAGGGACTCAAAAACGGAGATCTCCTTGAGCGGCAAGCAATGTGTTAACATAGTCGCACCGAGAGGTACATCTGTGTCGTATTTTAACCATGAAATATGTTGCTCCATTTTTAGGTCCACATTGTCACCATTCCTACCATCTTTGAAGAACTCCCTCCCTCTAAAATGAAATTACTTGAAAGCGAGAGCAAGCACTTCGTACTGAATGAATTAAAGAACCCTAAAATCGGTGTAAGAACAAACATGAACATAGGAAACGATGCTGGCACGGCAAAACCATACGGTGATCCATAAATCACAAACTTAGTTTGCGTTTGTTGTCGGTTCAGACCTCGTAAATCCTTGAATCATGAGCGATGCTAGCTGGCTGATTGGCCGACGGAAATGTCTCATTCAAAGGATTGCCTCGCCCCTTCACGACTACTGAAAGCGTCGTATTGAATGGTCTCAGTCGCTGGGAAAAGGCACCACTGCGTTCACATTCGTGAGAGACTCCAAGAACGACCGACCGCAGTCAGGTTAGCCCTCATCCTGGTTTCCTGAGGAATGATCTGTGAAATGTAGGAGAAAAAGATTGAGACCTGTTTTTGCTCGTCCTGCCGCGCAGGTCTCTAGCTTGCTTCCCTTTAATATCCTGCGACCATAGATCGTAAAATATTTTGACTTACAACCGTGAAGTGCATGTGCCTATATCATAAGGGCTAACATTCTATATAGGGCGTTAAGATTGATATTCGAATCCATTTGAAGCGCAAGGACAATACAAGATTCCCTTGACCTCATCACCAATTTCCTCGTCATGCCACAGGCCCAGAAACCGTTCATGACTTGGACTTCCCGCAATGGGGCCATAGACGTTCCCGTGGGATCAAGGTGCTGCACCCAGAGCTTGATGCAGTATGCGGGAAATCATCCTTATCCGTTTATTCCTAGTTCCACACCAAAACACCATTTGCCCTTTAAAAAAAAAACAACAACTTACTTGGATCTTATTATTTTACACATACGGGAAACTAACTTATATGTTTTCCGAAATGCATGATGTTCCAGGAATTGAGCAAGAATTTCATTTCATGATAACTGGTTTTATGCTACAGTTAAAAAAATGAAACTTAAATAAACTTAAAGATTAGAGTTTAGACGTTCAGACACTACATGGTTCCAACATGATGGGGCAACATGTCATATTCCAAAAGAAGTAATGGAATCACTGCCATAACATTTTGGCCCGAGGCTCCTTTTGAGGAATTGTGAATTTACGAATTTAAATTCTGAGAATTGGGCTTTCCGCTAATTCTATTTAAAAAAACTGTGGACTGCTCAGGCGTCACAAGAACTTTCCAGCATACCGTCCAAACTCTTAGAGTTACATAAATATAACTAAATGAGAACCTTCCATCGGTTAAAGTTTCTTCCTCAACCACACCCTCGCATATAAAATCCCTGCAGATTTCAAATGCCACTTACTTCAGCTCGCCCTTCTACGATCTCCTCAGACTAAAGATAAAATACATAGGATTCAGATCTATACATGTTGTTGGTATGAGTAAATTATTGACATTGTCTCTGAGTATTTATAAGCGAGGCCAAGGAAGCCATTTTTTAAAAGAAGGCTGATCTAATGTTCAAGGGTGTGGCCCCGGAACTTGGGCCCAGGTGCTGTCGCCACCTAGGCAGTTTAAGATCTAGGCTCGGAATTTCACCCCACCTGCAACTTGGTGCCTGATAAAGTAATATGCGGAGTATAATTATTTCGAGTGAAATGTAACTGACCCTTGCATTCCTTCCTCTACTTCCCTGTACTATGCAGCATTGCATGGTCATCACAGTGAAAGGAGTGGTAGTGCACTGCCTTTCAAGTTTCTTTAGTGTTTCTGATGTCACGCTGAAATTCAATTGAAAATATGTTGCCTTAAAAAATGCAATAAGAATGGGTATTACAAAATAGTAAGACAACGTTCTGAGTCATTCAAAGTTGTTCTGTTTTCCAGAAAAAGGCTCATTCTGCAAGAATAAATTCAGCTAAGTTTCCTCCTCACCAATTTGTTGGTTTCTCAAATTCTTAAGTGATGCCCATATTCTTGCTTCATTCTTGGCATAACTTTTCTACTGAAGTTCATTTATCGAAACCTTCATACCAGTGGAATGTGATATTGCATGATCATGCCAGACTATGTGACAGGACCAATTATAGTGTGCCGACCGGCGCACATGGTTCATACCATGTAGTAGGCGTTATATTTCCTCTTGATCATGTCATGTATCAAATGATGATCATAAATCATGTATCACTTGATGTATTGCTGTGTGGGTAGAGACATTTGGCACGTATTTTGCACCGTCCATGCCATGGGCTGGTACTGACTTTCTTCTGCTATTCTAAATAATTCGCACTCAACGTTTTAATGCACACAGGTGCTACGCTTCCCCTTGTCTCTTGCCAGCAAGCTAACAACAAGACTACTCGAGTAAGAAGGAAAACTTCACTGTCAACCTCTGACCTTTTTGTTGGAGAATCTCAAAGTCGCATTCTCTACATGACGATCATGCCACTGGTAACCCATCTTCCTAAGCATTTCCTTCATTTCTCATCTTTTTTCTCCAATATAAGTCATTTCCCTCTGTTTCCTTATGTTTTCACAGATTTTTGCTCTCGTTGCCTCGCTTATGCCAGCCATTTTCTCCGCCTCCCTCAATGGTGAGGACCCTGTTATGATGCTTATTATGATTGCAGCTCTATTCCAACATAAGAACTTACAAATGCCGATTATCGTGGTTTTTTTTAAATAACCTTTCCTTTTCTATTTTCAGGCGAGAGAGTACTTCCACCCCAAATAAAATGTGGTGAGTGAGCGGATTCCAGTTGATGCAGTAAAAAGAAAATAGCAGAAAATTAGTTTCGCGCTGGAAGTCTTACCTCCTGAGCTACCTTGAAAATGTATTAATTCCACTGTGATGTTGCATGCGTGGTTACATAAAATTACAATGGTGGACAAGATTTCCGATTAGAATAACTGGAGAAATATATGTAATGCTACGATGTGAGAAATGATTTCCTGAAGGCAGCCAAGGAAGTAGGATTTCCAGTAAGAAGTACATCATGATGTACTTCTCTGCAAGGAAATTCCTTTCATTAAAAACAAAGTCAAACTGTTTGCTCATATCTTTTGCTGCTTCTCTTTCTGCATCTAGATTGCGGTCAGACCCCTTGTCCTAGCATTAGGATGGAAAACGAGACAGACCAGACGCTGATTTCAGCTGGAAGAGCCCTAAGGGAAGCCGAAGAGTCTGCTGGATTTTGGCCTTGGAACGCGGGTCTCAAGACGAAGGATGGGGAGTTTGTTTGCGGGGGGACCCTCATCAATAGTCAGATTATCCTCACGGCCGCTCATTGCGTTGACAAGTAAATGGATGAGTCGTTTGTATCATTGCCATTAGATCTACCGTACAATGGGAGGATTGTCTGAGGAGTTATCGTCGCTCGGTAGTTGCAATGAGTTGTAGTCTTCATTCGCGGGTGGTGTCCTCGGAGTTTACGGAAGAGGTGGCCTGTTAAGACATACCTGAGAACAGCTTCAAAATCTGTTTCAATAGAACTTGTACGGAAATTATCATACTGTGCTGTTCTGTCAACATAAAAAATGCATAATGTGAGGCCCAACTTCTACACGCAACAGTTTGAATCCTCTATCCTGCTATAGGGAGAATCCAGACTCATTCTACGTGTCCCTGGGTGATTACGACAGACTTCAACCCGAAATCTTTCAGTTAGATATGAAGATCAGGTCAATATTCATTCACCCATTCTTCAACATCAGTTCTTACCATTATGACTTGGCCATCATCATCTTGAATGATACGGTTCCCTTCCTTGAGTATCCAAATATTCGTCCCATCTGCCTCCCGGGGTCTGATTACTTAGACGATACAATCAGGGAAGGAGTAGTCGTTGGCTGGGGCCTGAGGCATAGAGGTAACACCCGTTTTCTGGCTTCTAAAAACATGTCATAGTTCGACTGCAAGTGTGGTCCGCTTTTGTCGGGTTTCAGGTGGATTGAGGACGGGGCCGCTGCTGAGATGGGAAAAAATGACCAGTGTAAATATACTCCCTCCTGATATCTGTTCCAAATTGATTGGGCCCTTCTACCATAAAGAGACGATGATCTGTGCTTTGGAACGGGAGGGACGAATCTGCAATGTAAGTACCCGGAGCACCCGAGGTCAAATTAGTATTTCCTTCTACAGGCATTATCGATCGACTGAAGTGGACTGAATTCCTCAGGGAGGGGGAGGAGCAGGGCTGGCAACGATTCTCAGGTACACTCGACATCCACGGAAAGAGCCAACAAAAGATCAATTACCGATGGAAGCAGATGAACGAGAATGCTCGAGATCTCCGGTGTATACTTTGGCAGGAGTAACGTCATGGGCGAAAGAGGACTGCGATCTGAAAATTCCGACTGGATATGCCCGTATCACAGGTATTTTTATTATTCCCTCTAAATCATTGTGCTCTTCCTGTATTTTCTCTCCCAAATCTCGTCAGCATTTCTCCTCCTGATTTTTAGGAAGCGTGATGGCATGGATTAAAAGGACAATGGACATGGAAATGTTCTTCTGCGAAGAACCCCCGATAAAATGGCATGATTTATTCATCTGATAATTGGTACCGATGCTCCTTTAAAGTATCGAAACCTAAGGGTAGAGCTAAAAATAGATTCACCTCTGGTTTCCGATGACCTCACCAGTGAGCGATTTACGATGTTCATTACGTGGTGCTCTATTATATCCATAATTCGTCATGATTTCCAATTACCATTTCAGTCGTGGACATATCTGAAAACTTATGTTTAAAGACCAAAAAGGATACGGCTTCGACTAGCGCTTGGGGTTACATAAATATATATATTATTAGTCTTTTGTTTTTAACTTGTTCTTAATGTGGATATGTTCCTCTCAATAGTTCAGATAATCGTACTACAGAATGTTTATTTTCCATTCACATTTGCACGATACTGAGGAATATAGTTTTTCATGCGTATTATTGTAGACAAGCCAGTACCCGGTCAAATCACCTAACATGAATATATTGAAAAGAGCTGAAGGTGCATGCGATCTCCATGTCTTCTCCATGTATTGCCTGAATCTAAAATAAATAGGCGTCACTTGCATGTTTACAAACAATTTTATTCTTGATATCCAGGAATCTAATTTCCTTCATCGTGCATAGACGATGTTTCGGATAACGCATCTGCTACAGAAAAGCTTTCGTACTATTTCCGTGTTAGGCACCTGAAATCTTTCTATCTTGGAATTAAAAGTCAACGCAAGTGGAAATACAGGGTGTTCCAAAATGATCTTTCCAATTTTGAACATTTAATAAAATTTGAAAATAACAACACTTGAAGATACGGTTTCTTTTATTGTAAACAGCAATTCCAAAAATGTTATTGATGTTCATTTCTTTTTGTTTTAGGTGTGTTTTTTATGAAAGTGTAAGCACAATTTAAAAAAATGAGTACACCCAGGAAGAAGCACGAGATATGAAGCACAAGATCTGAAAATTACTCAGATATATTAGAGCAATTAGGCTTCCTATCATAAGACCTTCAACTACGCGTCATTTTTCAGGATGGAGCTCCACCACACTGGAGTTAGCAAGTGGGCGATATTCTAGACAAACACTTCCCTGAAAGATTGATTGCATGGGGAAGCCCAATTCCTTGGCCACCACGCTCACCGGACATAGCCCCACAAGAAGAAATCGAGTGGGGTTATGTTATAGACGAGGTGTTCCGAACGAAAGCTAAGGATTTGCGGGAACTACAGCAGTGAATTGCCGCTGCTATTGGGACCATAGACGTCGAAATGCTAGGTCGAATATGGCAAGAAATCGAGTATTGCTTGGATGGGCTTAGAGTTTCAAGAAGCGCTCGCATAGAGGTGGACTAATATTGGTAATAAAACTTTGCGATATGCCATTTACAATAAAAGAAATCGTATCTTTAAATTTTATCTATTCGTATTTTATTATGGTCGCGCCTTCAGCGCTCCATTACCTTGGATAGTGATTAATTAATTCATTTTTTGCGAAATGGGAAACATATTTAAAATACGTCCCCTTTGAAATACGTGACATATGAGGTCGAAAGTCTTGATTTTCATCAAATTCTTTACTTCTATGTTTTTATGTGTGCCTAACTTTAAATCTTTTCTTGTGTCTCTTTTATTAAGGGTGGAGAATACATTTTGAAATACTTCCCTCCAATAATCTACGCTAAGGAGACATACTTCAAAAGTAGGATTTTTCCTGTACTCAGTCATTAAACAGGAACTTCTGAGGGAAGTTTACATTTTCTGTATCTGTTTCTTTGGATCAAAAAAATGTTCAGGAAAATAGGACAAAAAAAATACTTGAAAACGTCGGCTCCTCAAAATTTTACATTTTTCCTGAACTCATCGTCTCGGTAGGCACATCCATGCCAAGTTTCAGCTTTCCATGTCTCCGTTTTACTCAAGCAAAAATAATGTTATGGAGGGGGATGAATAACGGGACATGGAAGGCGAAAAAAGTCAAAAGAAAGCCAAGGAATGGCCGGGAATTGAACCTGGAACTTCTGATTGTCAGTCACATATGCCACTACTACACCACCGAACACAGCACATTTAGTTAACTCTCTGAATGCCATCCTCATCTGTCACAAAATATATTTAAGAAATACGTTTCCCCCCAAAATTTGTACCCCCAGGGCATGTACCTCTAGGGTCGGATTTTTTCTGAACTCTGCATCCCAAAAGGTACATGCACCAAGTTTCAGATTTCTAACCTTTCTAGAACATGGTTAGAATTAGCGTCAGTCAGTCAATTAGTCACCATCTTTTACATATAATAGATGGTATTTAAATTGGAAAGATCATTTTGGAACAGTATAGTATATTGCATGAAAATAAAAACAACCTCCTGAAAGGTCCATCCTTATTTCTTTACGATCCATCCCAGAAGGGGGGAGGCAAAACCCTAGAATTTATTCCCCCCGCCTTATTCCTCAGACTTACTTCGCCATTTACTTAGAGGCACCAGGGAATTTATTATCTGGAACAGACTGTACTACCTTGGAAACACATGTTTTTCCGTTGCAGCAATATCCGAATGAATCCAAGTGCAAGTCCTGAAATTTCGTACCGTTCTTACATCCTCCATCGATTTTCCTCAGAAGTTCCGGATGTGAGATCACCCAGGCCAAGTCGCAGTCGGATTGGATTGGATTCCCTAAAATACAATGTCACAGGTTGTAACCTATAAAATTAAAAGGGGAAAACAAAACCAGATAACGTAGAACGTGTGACGGGCGGTAGGGCAACTCACCTGTTACATTGAGGAACCCGTTTCCCCGAGAAAGGACCTCCAGAATGGGACGGAATGTCTCCTCCTTCAATGTCACGACGTCATTGAAGTTCAGAATTATGGTCGTGTCCGGCATAACACCTGGAAAGGTTATGGGATATTTTCTTAAGTCCACCGATTGAAAAGATTTTTCAAGGCCCATGCAAAAGCAAATAATGTAAAGGCAATGAAAACATATATGGCCATATCGGGGGTGGGGGGGGGGGGGGGGGCGGTCGCCACTACCTCGCCCCCTGGATCCGCCACTAGCAGGCCATGTCAGAAGACAGGGCGAGGCAAAAATGCAACTAATTTCTCGGACTGACCCTGCGCCTGGTTAATCGTCATGACAAAGGACGGGGAAGTAACGCCGAGCTAAGACGAAGGGTAACCCACAGATCAAGACGTTACCTTAAATCGTCGCCTTGTAGGACAATGTGGTAAGTGGGCTTTTATTGGCGGGCTCACATCGCAACCCGACGCGCACTTTTCTGAACGTTAGTGGCCTTTGACCACGTTACGAGTAGATGTTACTATGGCTAAGAGATATGTCATATCGAATGACTCTTTTGCTTTATTTACTTAATTATTCCTGATTAACACAGATTCCTCGATCCAACTTTCGTCAAACCAAAAGAAAAAGTTGAAAAGAAAAAAGAGATATTTCTCCATTGTGAATATTTCTCTATAGCACTCCAATATGAAACTCAGATTCATATGAATAAAATTACAGGCAACAGTGCTAAGCAAAAATTATGAAATTTAACTCCAGGAGATTCTGCAGATACGTGCAGACATCTGAGATTAAGTCAGCTCTGCTCTTCATATGTATTTCTCCGTCAAACCCGGCACAAATGACGTTTGGCATATGTTAATCCAACGATATTATGTGCATTGCCTGAAAGTGGACGTGGAGTCGTACCTGTGATGGATCCCGCATCCACTGCAGATATTTCATTAAAACCGAGCAACACCTTCATCAATGACGAGCTGTGGAACTCCAGCAACCCGCTTGAAAGGGTAGGTCCCAGATTGCAGAATACACACGTGAATTCCTCCAGTCTCTCCAAGCCCTTGATGACCGCCGAGGGGAACACCGATATGGGATTGTAATCTATGGAAAACATGGAAAAGGAGAAACTTGAAGTGATAATGTGTCAGTTTTTACACTGTGCCTTGAATCAGATGAATCAAAGACGAAACAAAGTAACATGTTCTTTTGCCGTCATCTGTGTTGTGTTGGAAAGTGAAATTTGCCATACAGAAACACCTGAAGTCGTATAAAAATGCCAATAATGCCTCACCACGGTACTCTTGATATGAAAAAAGGCCTGGGGCAGCAGAGACATCAAAATCATCCAAGCCTGTTCAAGCCGTATAATTTCATGAGTTCTGCGACTGTGGGAACTCCGACAACATTTTTTCATAATGATGATATTGTTTTCCAGCAGGATTGGCTAAAATAAAGAACGAAGCCAAGTTATTGGCCTCATCATTGAATTGCCTGCATCGATTCAGCACATTTTATCAGCTTAGTTCTGTTTTTAGTGAAATTTTTTGAGTAACCAAGTAATCAAGTAATCTAAATGAATAACCAAGTAATCTAAAAAGGAGCTTGTAGAGGAGCCTATTTTACTAAGTGGAGTCATCTCATGTCGGTTACTCCTTTGCTTTGAGTAAATGAACGTTTGCAAAATATTCACGCGAAAAAAAGGTGTATAACAAACAATTTTGGTGGAATTCCGAGAATAAGTCATCTTAAAACGTGGTGAGTTGATGTATTTAGGGTAGCTCCTGGACAGGATGTTGTCTACCTCATGTGTTGCAAGTAATTTGAGCTTACCGAGTTCCAGCAGCCTCAAGTTAGGAGTCGCCCAACCGTCTTCATTCACCTTCGAAATCCTGTTACCTAGAAGTTTGAGTTCTCTCAGGCTATCACTCTGAAGGGCTGGGAGCGATGTCAAGAGATTCATCACGAGATTCAGTCCCTCGAGATGTGACAGTCTTTGAAGAAGGTCGAAGGGAAACGTCTCCAGATGGCTGTAACCGATGGTCAGATAGGAGAGTCGGTCTTTCGAGGACAAGATGACTGATGGATGGATTGTCTCCACGGCTGTTTTCCAAAGCTTAATAGACTTGAAGGAGATGTTGCCGAATACTCCATCGGGGAGCTCTTTCACCTCTTCGTTATCTCGTAGATAGAAGTGCCTACGAAGAGTAAAACAGAAGGAAACATACGTTGATTTTTTTTACACATGCCTATATGCTATAACTAAATAAATCAGCAGCACTCTCTCATTTTGGTAGAGCTATACTATTTTCTTAGGCTTCCCAGTAAAGTACGCATCCGAAACAAGCGGATCTGCATGGAATATCCAGAAGAAAATTATATGAATATTCTCGAATCGGCAAATAGTAACATGCAGCCGATTCCAACTGTTACATGACTCACAAAGGGATTAAATGAAGCATTTCATTATTGTGGAATTTTTTTGAAGTGTGGAACTTTTTTTTTGAAAAATTTTTACTTATTATTTTTTGGAACCTTTCGGTTCTCATGGAATGGTTTCCTTTCGCCTGTAGCCAATGGACTTATTTACTCGCTGAAGTTTTAAGGGTGAAAGTAAACCGCGCGTAAAAGTGCACGAAAAATTGCTTCATCTCAAAAGAAAGCCGCAATCATATTTGAATGCGGAGACTTCGAAATGATGCCGTATGCTTTCTCGTTCATCCGAACAGGACTTCACTTGGTATTGGCATAATTGCTTCCTGAGGAAAAACGTCCCTTCGCCTTTAGAAGTCTGGTGGCTTTTACTTCAAGGAAAATCAAAAGACGAAATTCCTATAACTACCGTTCTTTGGCTGAGTTAAAATAATTTAAAAAATATATACCTTCAGCATATTTATTACTACAGGTAAATTACGGGGAGCGATACATTGCCAATTCACGCAATTTGCGCGGGATACTGCAAGTCTACTAAAAATCGTTCCTAATAGTTAATTGAGGCAATCACGTCCTCGACCAACCACTGCTGGTAGGTACTCCCAGTCCAACTCAGTAATACAGAGATACAGCATTTGTAGACGTCCCTGAGTTGGAAGGTGTTGATAATGGTCAGGACAGCACTGAAGTGCAACAAGTATCTGCGATTTTCATTTAGAATGACTTCCGCGAAGTGACCGATCTCACCACTCCGAGTGGATTTTCCAATGGATCAATTTTAAAAGTCCACTATTTCTGTTTTTCATCCCTCCAACACACCAAGCGACCAGAATGAATTTCCACACGAAGCCGTGCAGAGCGACCAAGACGGCCGAAAGCACAGGAATATTGGAAACTGAACGGGAAGAAGAAGAGAGACTCACGCGAGTTGAGAGGAAGGCCAGGAGGCTTCGTTGAATGCCGACCTCATCTTCTCACCGGTGGAAAACGAACAGTCCACTTTCACTGACGTTTCACTCAAAAGATCGGTGGAACCGCACGTGCAAGGCCGTATGTCTTCGTCAGGAGGGCAGTCATTGTTCCCGTTTGCATAGAGAGCAAGGGAGAGGATTGAGATGCAGAGAAACGTGGACAATCCGATCATCTTGCCAGATCCAATAGGTTATTCTAGAAGATAAATAAGGTTTTTCGGATCGATTTTAGGATTTCCGATGGCTTTATTTTTGTCTAATCAACACCTCCTCATAAAAAGGGATATTTGGAGAAAAGGGATATTTTTTGTAGTGGGCATACAGCAAATTGGTAAACTCAAGCTATATTGAACACGGAAGAAAAAAATAATCCTAATAAAACGGGATAGGCACTTTCCATTTATTTAAGAAATCAGTCCCCTCTCGCAAATAATAATGCCGTAGTACTGCGCAATACTTCAGCTTAATTAGTACAATGATGATCGTGTCCACCGAACGGACGCGATCATTGTCTGCAGTACTTAAGGTACGAGGAAATTTGATAACATGTAGCGGTTGATACAAATAAGCGGCGGCAATCAACGCCGCTGTCTATTAGTTATGGTTTTCCAGATGTGATCACATTACCCAGCTGATAACCATCGCCACTGATCACAATAAGCGGCGTCTACTGTAGCGCGTTCGCACCGGCGCCAATACACTGATGGAGTTGAACACAGACACAAAAGCTGTCCAAGAGCGCGATGGCTCTCTGACGATCGGGCAGGCAGGGATCGAGATTATGGCAGCGAAGAGGATGATAATGGAGCTGATAAGGGCCGACGGCGTTCCGGTCCGCCGATTGTCCTCTCCGCCCTTCCGGCTTCACTTTGTTCATCCTTTTCACAGTTCCTCGCGCAAGAGGCACACGCACGCACGCGGCTCATCTATTACCGTTGCATCGTTTAGATGATCGTGGCGATAAGACACTTTACGGAATTACTCCATGCACTAAATACTATTTCAATACAGAAACTTATGCACCTGATCGCGATAACCTCCTTTGCTCTAATGCATTCTCATAACGTACATTCTGGAGAAACCATCAATCAAAAAATAAAATAAAATAAAATCCACCATCTCGGTGGTGAACAAGCGGTCAAAAAATTTAACGTAGATGCATTTCCGCGATATTCATTGAAAATCCAGAGGCAAATGTATCTCATAAATATACTGGACAGGCGACGGAATTTAATGGCAAGGCCGGAAACTGACCGGAACCGCATAATTGATGGTCTCCACAGAGCTGAAAAGGCTTCCGCTTTTTGGTTGTACTGGGAAAGGAAAGAAATAAAAATGTTTGAAGCATGGAAGAGATTGGAACCGGAAATAATTATTCTATTTATATATTCATGTGTCCATCCCATGGCGGTACATGAACGGTGATTTCCAGAAATCAACCTTCTGCGTATCAAATCTCGAAATTCTGCTTTATTTGCCCCCTAAATTTTAGCCTTCCGATAATTCTGATGATCATCAGCGCGTTTGATTTCTGTCCTCAGTACACGACCACTATTAATTNTCCTCTCCGCCCTTCCGGCTTCACTTTGTTCATCCTTTTCACAGTTCCTCGCGCAAGAGGCACACGCACGCACGCGGCTCATCTATTACCGTTGCATCGTTTAGATGATCGTGGCGATAAGACACTTGACGGAATTACTCCATGCACTAAATACTATTTCAATACAGAAATTTATGCACCTGATCGCGATAACCTCCTTTCCTCTAATGCATTCTCATAACGTACATTCTGGAGAAACCATCAATCAAAAAATAAAATCAAATAAAATCCACCATCTCGGTGCTGAACAAGCGGTCAAAAAATTTAACGTAGATGCATTTCCGCGATATTCATTGAAAATCCAGAGGCAAATGTATCTCATAAATATACTGGACAGGCGACGGAATTTAATGGCAAGCCCGGAAACTGACCGGAACCGCATAATTGATGGTCTCCACAGAGCTGAAAAGGCTTCCGCTTTTTGGTTGTACTGGGAAAGGAAAGAGATAAAAATGTTTGAAGCATGGAAGAGATTGGAACCGGAAATAATTATTCTATTTATTAATATATATTCATGTGTCCATCCCATGGCGGTACATGAACGGTGATTTCCAGAAATCAACCTTCTGCGTATCAAATCTCGAAATTCTGCTTTATTTGCCCCCTAAATTTTAGCCTTCCGATAATTCTGATGATCATCAGCGCGTTTGATTTCTGTCCTCAGTACACGACCACTATTAATTACATAGTTGTTCAATTAGTGCAATTTTCAGCCCGAAAATAATATACTAAGGTATCTTTAATGTGTGCATCAGCAATCATTTTCGAGACTTTTGACAATGAGCGAATATCGTGACGTGCGTCTCCAGTTGATCTCTTTGATACAGTACGATAGCTCTTCCACCAGGCACACGGACTCGATCATGACACCTATCGCACTATAAATCTAGAACGCCGGAGCATCCGAGCACCCTGTTAGGTCCCCGCGTCATTTCCAGGGAGAGGGTGAATAAATCAATTGCTCTAGCTATCGAGAGTTTCACTTCTCTGGAAATATCAAGTTTGACAAGGACGCTTCGCCACAGTTTCCTTAGGGCTGAAGAAACGGCTATAGCGCCACCATCGATTCTCGTCTCTGCGTTCGCCCCTCGCTCCAAATCCAGTGGCCGAGGTGCTTAATCCACTCGGTGCCAAGCAACTATATATCATTGTTCGATTCTTGCGCGGAAAGGCGGGAGGTAGGTTCTGGACACGAAGAGGGTTAAACACATCCGCATATTCCGATAGGGATAGACAAGTCAGTCGGGTTGACTGACTTGTTTGAGACGATGCAGGCAGGAGCTGCATCGCTGGAATATGAAGCATGCAAGACGGGAGGTTACTGCTGTGTGCATGGGGCGCACGTGGAAGCTTCATAGGGGTAATCTGCAATTTTCGTGCGATTTCCGGCCAAGGCCTATGGTTGGCCGAAAGACACCGTTGAAAATATCAGAATGTAATACATTTTTGGAGTACACGATAGGACGAAATAGATATAAGCCTAGGCCTAGGCTAAAGTTAGGCCAATGAAAATGCACTATGATGGGCATAGATATAAGAATCCTTCATTAGAATTTTTGTAACTGAATAATCAGGTGTCCAATGTGGAATGAGCACTCCTCCAAGAATCGGATTGCCGAAAAAGAGCAGAAATACTCCTCAAAATAAAACTGTAAACGGGATACGGATTGAAACTACACTACACCTTGGGTAAGCGTGTGACTGGTTGTTGCCATGACAGGGACTTGCAGCCACCTAGCATGACGAGTAGGGACTTTAGTTCTTTCTTGGAAGTGAAGATGGCGAAAAAAGCGCTGGTGAAATACAAGTGATGAGAGCGATCGCCGAGAGATCGGAAAGGGCACGGAGCTAGCTCGGAACTTCCTTATTACACACTAAACTCGGACATGTTTAAGTTTGTGCGTAAAACTTTCTCCAATTGAGGCAAATCAGAATGACCCATTAACGCATTAGCGCATTCAATTGCTCATTTTGCCAGGCGAAGTCTAGTATGTCTCCTTCCTTCTGTCTGGGAAAACATGAAGGGGTGAAGTCCACTCCGCCAGAGGCTCTGCCAATGGCCCACATCGATGGAACTCATCCTTTTCTCTTGTTCAATGCAAAACCGAATATGTCTTGTTTTATCTCACCAACCTTGTCCGAAAAATCTGAAATTTTCTGCCAAGTTCCTAGAAGTTTTAAGCCAAATTTATCTTTCTTCTGGAAAAAAATGTCCTAGTACAATACATTTTTCGTGCACTTTTATCCTCGCAAATGTAAATGCAAATGAGACATATCCGGGAAATGATAAACGAGGAGTGAAAACGGTCGTTGTTCCAGAAAGAAAAATTCTCTACGGTTCTGTCGACTTCGATCCCTCCGTGACCTCTCATCCGCTGACACAGGGAACGCCCATCCCAAATACTTTCCTCTTTTACTTTACATATTTTCTCCAAACTTTTACTTCGAAGTCGAAGTCGTATCCCGTTGCGGTCCTCACATATCAGATTTCAGATATATCCATGACTGCAACGGCAACTTCACCCGCAATATCCAGTGGCCGAAATACTGTCCGTTTTTTCCTACATTTTCCCATAACCTCACTTTCATCTGAATATAAGATTGACCTGCTTTCATTAATTCAAAAAACCGTGAGCAGGGATTGCCAACATGGACATTTTGGAAGAACTACCTTTTCTAATTCAGATCTTTTGTCACTAGTAACCAACTCACAGACTGGGCTCAAGCCGAGATCAACGACAACGATGTTCGGGCGAAGCCACGAATGTCTCTGGAGCTTCTCTCCAATCCTTACAAGTGATGCTTTAATTATGGATGGTGCTGAAAATTTTTTTTTCAAAGCAAAAATGGCTTTTTTTGTTTATCCCACTCAAACACGCAATGAGTTTATTTTCTCAATTAATTTATTATAGCTTTCTCGGGGCACCGGTAACGAGTGGTACAAGGGTAAAATACTTTTAAATAAATTGTAAATTGCAAATAAGTACCGTAAGTACCGGTAACCCTCTTTGCTACCAATAATTTTACATCCCTAGATGTGCTACTTGGGAAAAGCCTCCACAACTTCTTATATATGGCACATTCTTCAGAACTTATGAGGGCCATTCACAACAACAAACCACCCAAAACGAAGGAGGAAATGTACAAATTCCACATGTACGTGTAAATAATTTCCTTGAATATGCAACGGAGGTGCATGGGATGAACAGCAGCAGAAAATACGACTGAAACTTCGCAAACGTCCGGTACACATAAGGGTCCCATCGGAATCCATAACCTAAGAGGACAAATCATTCCACCCGATAAATTCCATACAAAATTCGGCTTTCCGTATGAGCATCGGAAGATGCGGGAAAAAAAAGACGAAGACTCCGGAAACTTGTGGCAACATTAGAATTCCATCCGATTCCGTAAACCCAATGATCCAATCAAAGAAGGTGATGAACGGCAGCATACGAACGACATTTCCGAAGTGTATCGCAAGACGAGGAGAAAAGAAAAACAGACTCCTGAAAATACCGGCAACAACAGTTTTTCTCCACAATCAGCAAACTCGGTCATCAAATCAAAGCAAGCGACTAATGGCAACGCAGAAACGACTTTTTCCATATGCAAC